GCTTAAGGAGAAATGCGGAATTGACAATAGTTCCAAGGGACCCGCCCACCCTTCAGCGAACCCTGTGCCGGAGTTTGGAGACCAGCACTGACCTGTTGAATTGTCTCCTTTCTTGGCCTCCTTGACACCTTTCTCAGCTTCCCTCTCACTCCCGACCATTGCTTCTGTGTCCTTTTCATCGGCTCTTGTGCCGCCCAGGCACTCAGTACATTATTTGTTACATAAAAAAAGAATGTGCTGGGCCCCTTTCGGGAGCCAGGCTCTGTTCCCAGCACTGGGGGTCGGGTGGTGGACTAGACAGGCGCGGTGCCTGGACGCTCACGGGCCAGCGGAGGAGCTAGTCACTGAGGACCTAAGCTAGGATGTGGGAAGGGCCACGACAGAGAGAGAGGGGGACAGCAAGAGGGACAACGGTCTGCTGGAGCTCCTCGAGGGAGTGACCCTCGTGAGATTTGGGGGACGAGGAGGGATTAACTGGGCCAAGAGTGTGCAGCGTTGTCTGGGCAGAAAGAATGGCAAGAGAACAGGCTGGTGGTGAGAAGGAACTCGCCCCCCTGAGGACCCACAGCCAGGGTGGCTAGACCACAGGTGTAGTGTGGCTCAGGGGTGGAAGGGCTGGCCTGTACAGGGCCTTGTAACCACTGGGAAGAGTTTGGACTTGAGCTGAAGCTGTCGGAGAATTTGTTGTTGTTCATCCTCACCTGAGGGTATTTTTCCATTGATTTTTAGAGAGAGTGGAAGGGAGGGGAAGAGACAGAGTGAAACATCAGTGTGAAAGAGACACATCGATAGGTTGCCTCCCACATACGCCCTGACCAGGCTGGGGATCAAACCTGCAACCCAGGTGCGTGCCCTTGACAGGAATCGAACCTGGGACCCTTCAGTCCACTAGCCATTGCTCTATCCTCTGAGTCAAACTGGCGAGGGCGCCATCGGAGAGCTTCACGCCAGGAAGTCGCCGGATCTGATTCCCATTCCAGCTGAACTGTGGGGGCTGCGCTGGGTGACGGGAGCGGTGGTCAGTCCCTGCAGTGGCCCAAGCGGGAGACGGCGCAGGCTCTCCCCTGGGACTGACCGTTCCGTGTGTTTACACTGGAACCGGGTGTGAGGATTCTGTTTCCCAACCAGTCACTGTTCTCGAGTTCTTTGTTCTCATCACTTGTTCTGCTGCGTCGGCCTCTCCTTTGGGCCATCGCAGCCTCAGTCCGGGACCCTTGCTGCCCCAGGCGCCCCTCGGCCTCGTGTGCTCCGGCTCGGACCCACCTGAGCACGTGACGGCCCTTCTCCCCGACGCACCACTCATGAGCTCTGCTTTCCTAAACCCCCCGCTCCCCCCGCCCCCCCGGTCTCAGGGTCCGCCCGGGCTCTGGGGGACAGCCCTCGCCCCTGACGCCCCACCTCACTGTCTGCTTCCCCCATTCCCATGATATTTTGTGTGTGCAGTGTAAGCCTTTCACCCCCGTCCGGAAGTAGGGGGATTCCTGCCCACGTGGAGCTCGTGATCAACCTAAAGGTGTTTCTGGAGGCAGAAACGAATGAGAAGATTTGTTCTTCCGGTTCTGGCAAGAAGATGGATGGAGATCATCTTCACACACACACACCCCTCACTATAAGCATCTTGAAGTGCTAGATAAAATATTACAACACCCCCTAAAATGTTAAGGCTTAGCTGAATTTACAAGGAAGACAGGAAATCCCCAGATGAAACAAATGGAGAGAGAACCGGAAACCGGCACCTGGATGAGCGACTGATGTGCAGCTGGGTCACTGTCGGCCACAGCGACAGAGAGCAGGCTCGGCCCAGCTCTGTGAAGGCCAGACAGTAAGTGAGGCTTCGCAGAGCACGGACAGTGTGGCATCTTCTTTTTCTTTCTTTCTTTTTTTGAACATACTTTTATTGATTTCAGAGAACAAGGGAGAGGGAGAGAGAGAAACATCGATGATAAAAGAGAATCCTTGATCAGCTGGCCGTCTCCTGCACGCCCTACACTGGGAATCGGGCCCACAACCCGGGCATGTGCCCTGACCGAGAATCGAACCATGACCTCGCGGTTCATAGGTTGATGCTCAACCCCTGAACTGGGCTGCTTTTTTGACAACCTTTTAAATATATATAAACCATTCTTAGCTTATGAATCATACAAAAATAGCCCACAAGCCAGATGTGGCCCCTGGGCCATGGTTTGCCAGCCCACGATGCAGAAAGGTGTATGTCCACATAAAGCTGGAGGGAGATCTCAGCTCCCCAGAGGGAGTGCTCTCAAAGCCTGGACCGGCAAAGAAAGGGGGTGGGTGTCTTCGAAAACATGTGCCCCTTGCCACAGGGCGATGACAGGGGAGCTTGCCGCACATTTTTAAGCCGCTCCTCAGGACTCAGAGCTGTGGGTGTGCTGTGCCAACATGGGTGGGTTGTAAATTCACCCTGTGAACTTCAGTGAACCCTGGGATCTGTGCTGGAATTCAGGAGTCTGAACGGGGAGGGGAAAGCTGATTGCATTCTTATTCTCACTAACCTCTGATGGATATTTAGCATTTTCTTCAATTAAGAAGACAGTTAACAGGCAACAGTTGTGTTAGAACTTATGACTTTGTCACTAATAGAAATCACAGATATTTTCACATCAAAATATAGAGCATGTATTATTATCACATTCTGATAAGTATGTTTCAATGAATTGGAAATGTTAAAACACACTTCTAAATAATTATTGGGCCAAAGAAGTAATTGTTGAAATTTTTATTTATTGATTTTAGAGAGAGGAAGGGGGAGAGAGAAACATCGATTTGTTGTTCCACTTATCTATGCATTTATTGGTTGATTCTTGTATGTGCCCTGACCGGGGATCAAACCTGCAACCTTGGCCTATTGGGACAACATTCTAACCAACTGAGCTAGCTATCTGGTCAGGGTGAAATTTTAAAAAATATTTATAATTTGGAAACTAACAATGTTTATTTCATATCAAATTATAGGTTTAGAGGGGTAATATTTAGAAGATTGAAAGTGAATGAGTTAACTTTCAACTCAAGAAGTTAGAGAAGGAACAGCAAAGTAAATCCAGGAGAGTAGGATTAAGGAAAGTAAATGCAGAAAATTAATAAAACAGAAAATAAATGAGACATGATTGTCAAAGTCAAAACTTTTTCTTAGAAAAGATTAGTAAACAGGCACACTTTGTGGCAAGGCTAGTCAAGAGAAAAGAGCACAAATAATGGTTAGAAATAAACAGAAGGACATAGATATAGCATAGCGTTTAAATTTTTATTGATTGATTTTAGAGAGTGAGAGAAACATCACTTTGTTGTGCCACTTATTTATGCATTCATCGGTTGAGTTTTGTATGTACCCTGACCAGGGGATCAAACCCTTGGTGTATTGGGACGATGTTCTAACCAACTGAGCTACCCGGCCAGGGCTATAGATTTAGCCTAGTATTTAAATTATAAGAATACAATGAATAGTTTTATTCCAGTATTTTTAAATACTCAGAAAAAAAAATGGCAATTTCCCAGAAAAATATAACTTAACAAAACTGACTCAAGAAGAGGGAAAAACAGAATTCCCAGTGTGGGAAGCTATCCAAGTGTAGAGTGAGTGTTGAAAAGGCATTGAGCAGCCCGTCATTCATTTATTCAACAGCTATGTATTGAGTCCCACACCAGGCACTGTCGTGGGAGCTGGGGTGCAGCAGTGAATAAGATAATCAAAGCCCCACACTCTCAGTTCTGTCGGAAAGAACTTTCCATGATGATGGTCTTTATTGTCTCTGGCAATATGGTAGCCATTGGCCACGTGTGGCTCTAAAGCACTTGAAATAGGGTTAGTGCAACTGAGGCACTGAATTTTTAACTCTGTTTCCTTTTAATTAATTGAAAGAGCCAGATGTGACCAGTGGTTTTCTAGCTGATGGCTTCCCATGAGAGAATAAGTTGTTGAACTCTCAGGACCCTGACCTCTCCAAAAACAGCTCCTCGGTCTGAGGTGGTCAGCCCTGGTGGCCACGACCACGTGGGCCTGTGGGCTCGACTCACTGTTACTTTATAGCGCATTTTCAGGTGCTTTACCCCATCTGCTGCTCACTTCCCTCTTGGGGCCTCAGTGCTCAGGGATCCTTCAGGAGGCAAACGATTGAGTGCTTGCTCTGTGGTACCCATGCCCACCTCTGGCATATGCTGGCCTCAGGTGCCTGGTGTGGTCAGCACTCACTACACACCGGGAAGCGTGGGAGTCAGTGAGCGAAGGGTGGGCATTCTCGTGGGCCTCCTCATCAGCGCTGCAAGAGTGGGCAGGCCTGTCCCAGGATGCGCTGAGAGGCGGGTGGGGTTGGCAGGTGGTAGTGTGGGTGGAGCTGGGCACAGACAGGGAGCAGCCTGGCCTGAGGGCTGATGCTGGCCTTCGTCTCCCAGCCAAGAAATGTTAGGAAATAAAACAGAAGAAACACTAACAAAAATGTACATGTGAAGAAAAGCCCCTCTATTGCGTCTTTTCACAGATGGATGACATAAGTATCTTGGGCTCAAGAAGAAAAGGCAGAGCTGTGTGGATGGTGGAGATAACGGATTCTAGAATGAATTTCTTTGTAAACTCAGAAGCCCTTTCCTTTCTCGGTGTCTCATCAGTGCAAACAGGGAACAGGGTCAGGCTGCACACAGAAGCTAGCCCTGGGGGCCGAGCGTACACAGTGCTGGATGGGGGCCCTCCCTGGGTCCCCCCCAGCCCTGCTGTCAGGAGCTCCTGCACTTTGCTGCACAACTCTCGAGGTGGTGGGTTGCAGACTCGCCAGCATCCCCGGAGCCTCCCTTCTGCACCCACTGCCCACAGCAGAGTTTGCAGCGGCCGTGCCCTTGGGTGCCGGCGCCCAACACACCTCGAAGCACAAAGTCAAGGCTCCCGGGGAGCAGATGGACGGCACCTGCCGTCCTCCCTGAAGGTGCTCAGGGCGCGGGATGCTCGTCCACGCAGATCACTCAGCGGGGTCTCTCCTGCTTCTGTTTTTCAGGGATGATAATGGTGATTTTATTGCTGCTCGTGGCCATTGTGGTGGTTGCGGTCTGGCCTACCAGCTAGAGGCAATAGCGGGGCCACCAGCTGGACTCCTGCCGGCGACGGAGAAAAGCTCAGCACCTTTTGATACACGGAAGCCGCTCTCAATAAATCCCCTCAAAGCTCTGAACTCTCCATGTGCGTGGCTTCGGTCACTGCAAACTGCGTGGCAGCCCCGGAGCCGACGGAGTCTCTCGGGTCAGCCTCGGTCGTTTCTGTGCCAGCCCAAGGTTCCTCGAGTGGGCGCTGCCACGGCTACAGTGGAGCCCACCCACCCCAAAGTGCGCTGGCGCCCTGGGGGATGGTACCGAGCGCACAGGCAGTGAGTAACCGGGAATGTCTGGTCTGCTAGGAAGTCGTGTGTCATGTAGGAAA